TCCAGTGCCGTTACCTCCACAGGGACCTGTGCAGAGGGATGAACATGCTAGTCAGCACTATAGGGACAGACTGGCAGCACACGTGTCAGCCCCACATCAGCGTCCTCCACACCTAAATGACCATGATTATATCCTTAGTAAGTATATTAATGGCTTTCTTACATCATTCATTTTTTTTAATATGCAATCATTCCCCATGAATACATGTTACTAATGCACGTTATTGTGTCTCTTGTGGTGCAGGTTGCCATTGTTGCTACTCCTGCTGCAGCAGCATGTTCCAGTTGGAAGCAACTAAACTCCATCTTTTTCATTGATGTTCACCCAGTTATGTTGTATTTTTGTCATGTTTATTTGTACATAGGACACCTATTGGTCCGTCCTGGGAGAGGGATCCCTGCTCTGTTGCTCTCCCTGAGATTTCTTCCATGTTTTCCCCCTGTTAAAAGTTTTTTTTGTTGGGAGTTGTTCTTCATTGGCTGCAAGGATCTAAGGACAGAGGGTGTTGTACACTGTACACATTAGAAAGCCCCCTGAGGCAAGTTTTTGGTTGTTGAATAAACATTTGGCTGATATATTTCACTGGAGTGTGTCTGTCATTTTGCATGTAGTGTTTGTCATTACAAAGTCATTATTTTTGCATTTATAGCACAAATATTGTTGAAAGTAACTGTTGTATTGTATTTTAAAAAGCTGCTATGACATGTGGTGCTTTTGGGCAATTTACCCTTTTATGTAAAGTGCTTGTTTATTGAAGCACTGTTTGTGAGTGTTATCCAAATCATCAACTGAAGAACTCCACTTTAGTGTTTTCAGCAACATAACATTTTTTTTTTTTTTTCACATGCTCTGAAATTAAATTAACAAGTCACTCATTCTGCTCATAGAGTGCTGCATCACGGGCCTCGTCCTTCTCTGCCTGCTTTTTGAGGAAGGCCAAATCGCTGCTTCTTCGCCTTGGCCTTTTAGTAGGTGGTTGGGATCTGGTGGAGGGCACGGGCTCCTCCTCACTGCTGAGGGAAACTTGGGAAAGCCCTTCTTCAGCAGAGGTGGAGGCCTCAGCAGCAGTCTGGCCATGGCTTGACAACGGGCATGAGGCAACTAGGGTGGGAGGCTGAATTGATGGCCTTCCCCCAATTGCCTAGCCTCAAACCATGGCCAGGTAGCTGCTGAGGCCTCTCCCCCGTCTGTTCCTGTCCCAGTTGGGGGATTCTTTAACTCCTATTGACAACACAGATAACAGACTGTTAGTTAAAGGGCAGTGAGGGCAAAATCACATTATATTGCATTTAGCTGACGCTTTTATCCAAAGCGACTTACAATAAGTGCATTCGACCAAGAAGATACACACTTGAAGAAAACAAATTCATATAAGTACATCAGGTTTCAAAGAGCCAAAACATTTCAAGAGCTACTCAACTGGCTTTAGATAAGACAGTCCTTTGTCAGTATACGAGTGCTTAGTTTGTATATAAGTGCTTTGTTAGTATATGAGTGCTTTGTTAGTATATGAGTGCTTTGTTAGTATTTAAATGCACACCAAACGAAAAATGTTACTAATTCTAAATGTGTAATTGCTTACGCCTTAAATGTTAACAAGTGTAAACAACTAAGCAAATTCACATTTTAATATAGGAGGCTGGGGTCGCCAGTTTAAGTCTGTAGCATAATATCTACAAACACTAACCCACCACAGTGCCCAGCTGTGATTTGCTTTAACTTGTATTTTGTTTTCAAGTTGTCCCATTTATTTGCTGTCTGTGGACCAGTCACCTGGCCCTCCAGACCCATCTCTTTAACAACCTGCCTTTAGTTACAAATTATCTTAATTCACCATGCACATTTATTAAAACATTTTATCAGACAAATATAGATGTACTTACTCCCAGCCTGATTTGGCAGCATTTAGTTTCCCACTGAACATGTGCTCCATCTTAACCCTTGCACTAATTAGGGCAAGGTTTTCAGCATCTGTGACTGAAATAAATACATCATATTAGGCTTGCATGGTAAAACGCTGGAAATTAATAATTAAATAGCCTAATGCAAACTGAGCATACAGGTTTGAATACGATGTTAACTTTACCTGGATAATTTCACATCGTCATTTAATATAAGCATTTTGCCAAGTTATGGCTTAAGAATGTAAAAGCTTAAGAGAGCAGCGGTAACTACATGATCTTCGTTTGTCTGTCATGATCGGTTGTTTCCGTGAAAGCCTTAAATGCCGCGGCCGCAAGGCATTGTGGGGCAGCATTTTCTCCTCTCCTTTAATAAAGGGAGGTCCAGTGGTTCCTAAACTAGGAGGTTATAAAGGAAGTTTGAAACCTCCTTTCCTATCATCTCTAGAGAATTCGAACGACACTTATCATGGCTGCCACTGAGGTACTTCCGGGTCATTTCACTCCGTTAGGAAGGTTCCTTAGCTAAATTGACTATTCGACTTCAGCCGGGGAGATGGGGAGCCGGATTTAAATGCAAGCGCATCGGAAAAAGTCAAGAAATTAGCGAAACCGAAAAAATAAGCAGCATCTGCTGCATTTCAATGATATTGGAGAAAGCAAAGCTGAGTGCACTATTTGTAAAATAAAAATAACCTTCAGAGCAGGGTTTTTTTTTTGGTAACCACTCAGGATTTATTGCCAGAGGTGGGAGAAGTTCAGATCTTGTACTTGAGTAAAAGTACCAGAGTAGGAATACTCGGTTACAATAAACAGTCCTGCATTCAAAATGTTACAAGTAAAAGTACAAAAGTATTAGCATCAAAATATAGTTAAAGTACCACCTGCAGAGGGATCTAGATTCAGGTGTTCTTTTCCCCATATAGACCGCCTCGCTGCACATTATCCCTTGCATAAAGATAGATTGTGGGTCCCTTATAACATGTTGTTCACAGCGGAAATAAACATTCTGGTTACCTCAACATCTGTGATCTTGTAAATTAAACTCAAACCGTCACGGTAGCCTTACCTTACTTATCTGTCAGGGTTTGAGTTTTTGGGGTTATTTTGCTGTTCTGTCCTCCCTGTCGTTAGTTTCCCTGGTGTGTCTGATTGTGTTCACCTGTCGCCCTTGTGTTTCTCCTCCCCTGCTCGGCTGTTTCTAGTATCGTGATTACCCCTCCCTGTATTTAGTCTTGTCTCTTCCTGTGTTCAGTGTTGGTTCATTATTTTGTCGTTCATGTCTCTCTTCCTGTTGTCACAGTCCCTTTTTTGTTTGGATGCTACCTTGTGCCTTTGTACCTATTTGTGGATTCTTGTTCAGCTTTTTGTGAATAAAGCTCGCCTTTTGTTCCATTTTGAAACCTGCATCCCTCCTCATTCATTCTAAAATAGAAAAAAACACGTTTGATTATTAAACATTATTCTGTTGTTGGATGTTATTACATTTCGTGTAAAGCACATAATGACTTGTTTAAGACTCGGTTTTTCAAAGTTTATGACTTGGACTTGACTTGCCCAACCTGACTTGAGAATTGACTCGGACTTGAGCGCAAAGACTTGAGACTTACTTGAGTGCAAAGACTTGAGACTTACTTGTGACTTGCAAAACAATGACTTGGTCCCACCTCTGCTATTTACACAATTAATTATGTTTAATAAGCAGTTCCTCTTTCCATAACATGCGGTGAGCTTTTTACACATCAAGGAACTCGATACACACCATTTATTGTTCTGTGTTGTAGCTTTCCTGACTTCTGATTCTAAACGCAAGATTACAATCCATCTATTTTCCCTGAAATCCACTTTGAAAAGTGAAAAGAAAATGTTTTAAATCTAGAAAATTTGATAATATCTCTTTTGCCATACATTCCATGGTCTTACCCAACTGTGAGGTTAGTGCAATGGGCAAACAGTATTACAAATGTCTCCAGTAGGATTTTTCTAACCTGATAATTTCCCGTACTGTTGCCTGTTTTTCTTTTATGTGGATCAATGTGTCCAGTTTTGATAAGCTTCTAGCTGTTTAAGTTCCCTATGTCTCCCTAGCTGTACTACAGTTGTCCTCCCACCATGACACACTCTTTTTCCGTTTGCCTGCAGCACTCTTTAGAATATTTTTTTCTGCTGTCTGTATCATGGCTATAGCCAGGGGTGCACATAACTTTTTTGCCCTGGTTCTCAAAGGAGCACCTGGAGATGTTGCTTGGTGCTCATCCTTAAAATGAAAGAAACCGTAACTTTTGAGGGGGTCTTGACTTTATTTGCCAGACACACGCGCTGAACACAAATGCAGAGGTGAACACAGAACACACATGCAGAGGTGAACACAGAACACACATGCAGAGGTTAGGACAAGACAACATTAGCACGACCAGTAATCCTACAAGCTGTCATCACTACCCTCCTGACTGTTTTCCTCACTGTCTTCCTCTCTGTCAGACATGGTAGCTGATGATGTAGGCCTACTACTTCCTCTCTGGTTGAGTCTGCGATTAGATGCTTGCATCCACAAGTCAACAGCTGGTTTAGGGTCGAAAGTCTCTGTTGTCATCTTAGACAAGTGGATGTAATCAAATAAGTATGTGAACATAACCAATAACCTACCATAGCCAATAACAAATGAATGTAACTTATTTTATTTTTGTTGTTCATATCTTATTTTACCTTAACATTTATTTATGCATTTTTTTGTATCTCTCCAGTTTTAAAGGATATTTTTGGTTTACTGTCCTATAGTATACATTGGAATGATTTCAAACCTGTTTATCCCAATCATTATAAAGGAGTGCCTTGGAAATGTGTGTTTACATCAATTGTGATCAAAACGTTTGAAACCCACTGAGATAACTTAGACTAAAGTGAACTATCTAAACACTCAGAGTCCTTTACCTCACTGAGCTGTAGTTATCAGCCACTCAGTCTGACTGGAGAGGACTCTCCCTCCACATTATTGTAGAAACATCTTCTTCTTATAGAGCAGCTAGCACCAGATTCTAATAACAATAGCGCCGGAACCGGTGCACCCTCCCTCGCATTTTGGCTGTGAGCTGTGGGTGCCAGATAAGCCAACATCCCTCATTTTCATCACTTACAGCGTCCATCGTACAGGGCAAATGAAACGTGTAACCGGGGTGAAAAGGGTGTTACATCTATCTATCTATCTATCTATCTATAAAATTGCATGTAGACCTTCAGAATTCATCCTATGTGTTCTGGTACTTTTTGTAGTTACTCATAGCCGAGCTATCCATACCAAGAGACACTACGGAGTTATTAAAAAAGTTGAGATTTCAGACCCTTTTCATATACATAATCCTGCCAGCCACTAGCAGAGGATGGAGGTGGTACTGTCAAAGCATCCAATCATATGTAAATGTCCCCCAAATGTAATTTGTTGTTGACGAAGCTGTAAGTGCTAAACCGAAAGAACTAACAAATCGGAAGTCTTTATAAAGTGAATACACAAGCACCCCGTTTGGCAGTTAAATACAGGTAGTATGTCTGGACAGCCATCCAGGAAGAACAGGAGAGAATCTATCGGTATGTCAGATCAGAAGGCCGTGCCACTTTGCTATTGGCTGCCGTACTGAGCACATCATTACGCTCCAGTGTTTGTCTTCTGAACTCTTCTCCTTCCCGACCGTCAACTGTCCAATCAGATGTTTTGGGGATCTCTTGGCCGTGCGCATTTCATACACAGACACCAATATTTTACACTGCTCCAGAGGAAACTCTGGTAGGGAGAACATGGCGACCTCATTGAAGACAGTCACCAGGCAGCGAGCCACTGCAGAGGTTTTCTGGTACCGCAACTTGCTCTGGTTGCACTGCACACTGATCCTAGCATACAGGGCTACAAAAAACAGAAAAGGAAAATCCGTGACTGTATGTTATACTGCTGCATTTTCATAGCTTTATTTTTCTTAGATGTGTTAGCTATTTACCTGCATCAGAGGATATCTCAGAGTGGGCTGTTCTGACCTTTAGCAATCCAACCTCCAGCCTTCGAGAAGTGGGTAGAATCCTTAACGACAGAAGAACCTTTCCTACAAGATCCTATTCAGAAGGTGGGAGGATAAACACAAATCAGTAAAAATGTTTACAACAAATAACTGCATTGAAATATTAAATAATAGAGAAAACATTAAAAGACGTATATGTATTATTAAAAAAATGTATTTAACACAGATTTAAAAAAAAAAAAAAAGGACATGCTAGATGTTCAAGTGAGTTACATTAACAGGAAAAGAAACAGGAAAAACTAAACTGAAAATCATTCTGTAAGTATAGGTATAAGGAGGACTTTATCCCTCTTTAACCCTGCAAATGCCAGGAGCATACTTCAGTGTCTCACCTTGTGTAATTGATGTCCCTTTAACTGTTTAGTATTTAATATCTTGTTCTGAATGTTCAAGACTTTTGAATTTCAAAATAATTCACCTTGACCGAAAGATTAGGGAAAAAAAGTTCTTATTTGATTGCTATGTGTGTCTTTGTACACATGGTGTCCTTCTGTACCTTCTGTGGTATCATTAGATCTTCTTGTAGCTCCAGAGGGTAGGAGATGTTGAGCTGCCCTAAAGGAACCCTCACCTCCCCTAACACTGAGTGTCTGGAGAATTTATCAAAGTCCCTCACCTGAGATGCACAAGGACACAGGGCAGTCAGTCATTTTACACGATCACACGTAAAAAAAAAAAGACATAGATTCTGCTTAGATGTTTTTCTTCAACTGACTAAATACTAATTCCCTATAATTTGAGAGAAACTTAGAGGAAAGTGGTGTGTCTATGTATTTCAGGACCTCCATCCTGAGGTTGATGTGATGAAGCTGCTTTTCTTCTAGCAGAGGACAGCTGAACTGGTCTCCAAATAAAGGGTTACAGCTGCCTTTCACAATGCGAGTCCGGCATTCCTGCAGCACTTTCCACAAGACGGGTGCAGTCCCTTCACCCTAAGAAGGTCACAGAAGTAATCTATTACTCTATGACAGGGGTGGGGAACCTTTTTCCTCTCAAGGGCCATTTCAATTTTTACAATATCCTCAGAGGGCCGTACAAATTATTGACCTCTGCTTAAAAAAACTAAAATCACAGCCCATTCATTTCATTCTGTGCAAAGAAAAAGCAACCTCTTAATCCAGATATCTCACCATGACTCGCGTATGCATGCACATGCACGGTGTGGCGTGACCACCAAAACAGAATGATATGGACACAAGATGTGTGCAAATGTATTTAGTTTCCTATCCATGTGAACATGATTTAAGTGGGGGGGGGGGGGGGGGGGGCCCTAACCTCGACGGCATGCTCCCCCGCGAAGATTTTTTTTTAAATGTTGAAGTTAAAAGCATCAATCTGGTGCACTTTGAGAGCAAAATTAGCAGCAGTGGCGGCGTCAGAGATTTTCTCTAGGGGGTGCTGTGGGGTAGCTTGACGTTTCATAGAGGGTGCTCAAACATTTAGGGTTTCCCATTAATGCACCAGCGCTACAGTTGAATGTTCTACTGCAACACTCCCCCCCCCACACACACACACACACACACACACACACACACACACACACACCACACACACACACACACACACACACACACACACACCACACACACACACACACACCACACACACACACACACACACACACACACACACACACACACACACACACACACACACACACACACACACACACACACACACACACACACACACACACACACACACACACACACACACACACACACACACACACACACACACACACGACTGTTACAATGAAGGCTCGATAATCAGCTCACGGCATATAGGCAGGGGTAAAGTGCTATTTTTACAAGTGGTGAGCGGACACCTCCTCTAGGAGGGTCCTCACCTCCTCTAGGGGGGTCCGGGGGCATGCTCCCCCGGGAAGATTTTTTGGTCTGGTGCACTTTGAGAGCAACATTAAGAGATCTATGGATACATCTCTCAACACCCATACGAAACAGAACTGTCAACAGGTTTACTTTTTCTTTATAGATATTTTACAAATCACTCCCCTTTTAAAACAAACCGTTTGAGACCCACTGAGATAACTAGACTAAAGTTAACTATCTAAACACTGAGAGAGTCCTTTACTTCACCTGAGCTGAGGCAGAGTTGGGTGTAACGCGTTACAAAGTAACGCGGTACTGTAATAATATTACTTATGTCGGTAACGGAGTAGTGTGACGCGTTACTTTTATAATTCAGTAACCACACTACAGTTACTAACATTGCCCCGACACGCGTTACTTCGTTACTTTTATAAAATAATCACACTCACTGACAGACAAGAGGGGTGTCCGCCGCAGGTTTATATCGGTTTATATACATGTAGGCCTATGTAATCTGCGCGATTTGCGAGACCACATCTCCACGTGCAGTGCTGCATAAACATGGCTGAGTCTTTTCATCTGTAAACTCCCTCAACGGGCCCGCTCGCTCTCTTTTGTTGATCGCCCTCTCACGGATGAACAGTTCAATGTCCCGCTTCATTGTAGGAATTCTGCCATGTCTCTACCACTTTAGTTTGACCATCTCTGTTACTAAGTTATGGAATACTAAATAAATAAGTAATTAGATACCTTACCGTTATGCGCTCATAAAGAATGATAAGAATAATGCGTCTTGAACTGGTTTCATTAATTAGTGTCTTTACGTTTCACAGACTGTTAGCTTGTTGTGTGGCTGGTAGCCTATTTTAGAGCATATAAAAAGAAAGACTTGTGTTATGTCTTCCTTAATGCAATAGTAATTGGGGGTGCAAGTGGAGTCTCGCAGAGGCAAAACTGTGGCGCGCTTACACTGTAGGTGCGCCGCAGTCTGCGTGATCTGCCTGTAGGGGCGGGCCGGCCCTGCGAGTAAAGTAACGAGTTACTTTATCTAGAGAGTAACGAAGTAGTGTAATATATTACTTTTTTTTAGTAACGACCCCATCTCTGAGCTGAGGTTACCTGAGACTCTCCGTCTGACAGGAGAGAGTTCTCCCTCCACCTTGTTGTTGAAAAAGCTCCTTATATCCGTTAGCTTGGCTAGCTAGCACCAGATGCTAACCACAACGATCTCCGGTAGATACCCACTGGTGCGCGAGGCGAGCTCTCTCGCTCGCTCGCGCACGCACACAAAGTGGCTCGTGCCACACACACACACACACACACACACACACACACACACACACACACACACACACACACACACACACACACACACACACACACACACCACACACACACACACACACACACACACACACACACACACACACACACACACACACACACACACACACACACACACACACCACACACACACACACACACACACACACACACACACACACACACACACACACACACACAACACACACAGAAGAGAGAGCAGGGCTTGAATGAAACACAGAGACCCAGAAGTAAGCTACTTGTACTCACGAGGCCTATTATGTGCAGAATCCCTCTCGCTTTCAGTTGGTTTAGATTGAGTGTCCACACGTGGACGTTTAAGGACTAAAAAACTATCAATTTTTCACTTTGCTGTTAGCAAATCATTTGGCGCTCTAGCTAACAGGAAGTCACCCAAGTGTCACAAAGTAATTTAACCTATGGGTAGGTCAAAAATCGAATGGGTGCTGGCCATTGGCCTAATCATATCACCTGTGTTGGCTTTATGTTTTTGGTAAAAAAAATGTGTTTGTTTCACATATGCATTGATGTAATCAATAATATTTCTAATTTAATTTAATAAAAATAATAATAATAATTTTCGAAAAAAAAAAAAAAACATATTTCTTGGGGGTGGTTAGGGGGTGCTTTGGCAATCCTGGGGGGTGCTTCAGCACCCCCTAGCTCCCCCCTGGCGCCGCCCCTGATTAGCAGATCTATGGATACATCTCTCAACACCCATATGAAACAGAACTGGAAGCAGATTTATTTTTCTTTATGAATATTTGACAAATCACTCCCCTTTCAAACTGTATTCTTCTTTATTAATAACAACTTTTTTTTACTGTCATATAGTATTTTATACCTGTTTACTTTATTCTCTTAGTTTTTTATAACTATAATGATCATATAAAGATGTGCCTTTACCTCACTGGTTGGAGAAAAAGCTTCTTATATTCGTTAGCATAGCTAGCTAACCAGATGCTAATAACAACAAAGTTATTGACTGTATGACAGATGAGCAGATCGCCACTGGGCTTTCAACTAAGACACAGCCACGCAGAAACTGCGTCATGTGTACGGCTCCTTATCGGTACTGCAATATCTGAAGTGCTGGAGCGGCGTTCTGGTGCAATCCGTCAGAACTGCACCCCTGTCAGTCGAGACATAATCGTGATGACACGTTAGGCTCGTGTTGTGTTCAAGGACCCTGACCGTGGCCAGGAAAAACAGGCACTCGCTTGTTTAATTTTTTTGCGGTCTAGATTTCTTACATTTTTTTCTTTTTTGCGTGTGTTTATAAATTACCTCGAGGGCCTTACCAAATTGTCTCGCGGGCCGTATACGGCCCGGAGGCCGGAGGTTCCCCACCCCTGCTTTATATATACAGTCTATGGTCGAGACATATACCACGTGATGACACGTTAGGCTCGTGTTGTGTTCAAGGACCCTGACATTGGCCAGGAAAAACAGGTACTCGCTTGTTTAATTTTTTTGCGGTCTAGATTTCTTACATTTTTTTCTTTTTTGCGTGTGTTTATAAATTACCTCGAAGGCCGTACCAAATTGTCTCGCGGGCCGTATACGGCCCGGAGGCCGGAGGTTCCCCACCCCTGCTCTATGAGAATATGAAGGACAGTGTATATTTTTACAAAGTGGGCCTAATGAGCATAAAAGGAGAAAACAAAAGCTGTATGTTTCCCAAAATCAAGATCTGTAATTTCTACCATTAATTAACGAGGTAACAAGGAATGAGTCCTAAAACACAGAAATTAGTTAAAATTCTAACACTTCCGGTTCCCTCGCCTGGAAGTCCTTTTTTGTATTACTGTGTTTGATGTTAGATACCTAAAATAAAGGCTGGAATCAATTCAAAATTAAGAGATTTTAACCTTTTGTTTCACCACATAAAATGTTTCAGTAAATACCCCACTTGTGAATATCCAAAGCTTTTATTTGTCATAAAAACAGTGGTAGCTAACAAGTGGCTAAATGAGACTACTCATCGTCACACGCCAAACATTAAGAGCCTTGAGCTTAGTGAATGGTGACATGAAGTCATGTGACCTTGATGTAGCCTAACATTAGCTTTTCACTTCTGGCGATTGCATTTACGCTTAAAAAATCCTAAAAGTGGAGATGATCCTGCTGAACAAAATGTGTAAATAGTATAAACAGTTGTTTGACACAAAGCTTATTTTCTGCTATAATCTGGAATCCATTTAAACAATCCCATTCATTCTATGTTGCAAATGTATTATCTTTTCAATTTACACACGGCATCTATTGCACGTCTGTCCGTCCTGGGAGAGGGATCCCTCCTCTGTTGCTCTCCCTGAGGTTTCTCCCATTTTTCCCTTTAAACTGTGGGTTTTCTCCGGAAGTTTTTCCTTGTACGATGTGAGGGTCTAAGGACAGAGGGTGTCGTATTGTCATACTGATATTTTGTACAAACTGTAAAGTCCACTGAGACAAATGTAACATTTGTGATATTGGGCTATATAAATAAACATTGATTGATTGATTCATTCATTTTTGTCAAGGGAGCCATTAAGAAGCTAACTTCCGGGCCTACAAAATGACATCATCACTGCACCAGTGACATATTGTATGTGATAAGGAAGACAAAAGTTACCTCTTCGTCTATACATTCTTCAACTTCCACTTCTTCTGAGTTTGACCACATGAGTCTTAGTTTAACAAATGGCTGGAGAATTCGCGTTGGGCTTTGCTCCAGAAGCCCCTCCACCTGCAAGACGGTGACCACCAGCTGGGACTGCAGTTGGTCATAATAGATGGAAAAGCGCAGCGTTCCTTCGACCTAGTACAAGAGGGTTTGTTAGAAAAGACACCATTAACTAAATTATGCTGTTAATGTTTTAAAAATATATTTTTGAAATACAAATGTTTGTCTGCCAGTTGGTCCACACTCTGATCAACACACTTGATGTTTCTTTCTTGTGTATGTGTGAAAAATAAATCTTTCTCTGATCAATATTTATAATTTATTTGTTAATTGTTTGTTAAATTGTGTTTATATTGGATTGTTGTTGTTAAACAAAATATGGAACATCTCAAGGTTAATACTAACAAAGTAAATAGACTTTATATGTATCTACTTATGGGTTCTCCCTCTAGCGCCAATATGAGGTTGATATCTTTTGATATCTTGCAGTGGAATTCTTTACTAATATTCAAGAATGACTTACCCTTAAGATTCAAACTATTCGACCAAATAATAATACAAAACTAATGACATTTTCATCAGCAACAGGTTTACTTTGTTCCGTTTGTAAAGCATGCTAAACTGAGATGGTTAACCTGGGTAATATGTTAAACCTGCTAAAGGTATTAGCATATTAGCTTTACCATTGTTAGCATAACACTGCTGAAAACCCATTTATTGTTACTTTTATTGTATTTTGTTTCTTTTGATCTATTTTTACCTGTGTACAATTATGTCTTTATTCTTTAATTAATTTCTGATTGTCTTGTTTTTAATCTGGAAAGCACAACCGAGGTTGTTTTAAAAGTGTTATATAAATTAACTTGACTTGACTTAATACAATTGTGTTCAAAATCCCTGCTTTTCCATCTCTATTTATGAGACATGATAGTCTGATGAAGATGGATGTTATACATACAGATTTAAAAACTACATAAGGCTAAGTTGCAGTACAATGAGAAGAAGATAAAACTAACAAATCTTTATGCACATTTACTGTAGGATGCAAAATAAGCCGTCATGCATATAGCAATTTTTGTATGTAGGCCTACTATTGTTTTGTGGTGTCATTCAAGTAAAAAAGTCATACAATAAGGCATGTTTCTTTGTTTTGGTTAAATTGTACTGCCTGTAAAGAAATGAGTTTGTACATTAAGCGAAGTAAATGTATTGACAAACCAAGTAAATAAATAAAAGTTAAAAAAACAAAGGATGCACATACATTGAATGTATGAGACCTCGAGTAAAATCAAATTGTGAGAGAGCGTTGAATGTTTTTGAAGGTAAGAAGACATTAGATGAAGAGATTAAACAGGATTTGGAAAAGTGTAGATTGATTGTCACATGACAACAGGATTATAGAGTAGTGCTACCTTTGTATTGTTGGCCTGCTCTTCCATCTCTCCGTCTGCCTGTACGGATCCTGAGGAAGGTAATGAGGCCTGAGACAGACAGCGACTCAGCCTGCGGACCTCTGTGTTGACATTCTCCACCTGGGGCGACACAAAGTCATGTAAACACACACACATTTATATCTGTGGTGTTTGTTATTCACCACAGCGCCTTCAGCTTTTATTTGACTTGACAAGTACCAACATCGTCTTTGTTCAAACAAGTCAAATGTAATCTTTATGTACACTGACAATGAGACCTATTTTGAGCATCAAAATCAATAAAGTCCAATCTTCATCTTGTCAAAACAAAGTAAAAACTACACATTTTCTTTGCAAACAGCAGTCAGATGACAGAAAGGAAACAGTAGACTACTTCAATAAAATGTGACCGAGCTCACATGTAGTGGATATACAGAGAAATCTCATCTGCACACACATGTCGAGATAGAATCTACACAAAATATGTCCTTCGGGCTAGGCAAGAGCTGACTGACCATTTGTATATGTACCAGTATTATTTCAAAATGCATTGGTACATATTGTTTGAAGTCATGTTTTACTTATTCCTAAAACCTTTCGTTGAAAATATCTAGAATTTGCAGTATTTCTGTGAGTTTTCGTTGTTTTGCCTGATCTTCTTGTTTTTATGTTAAAAAAAATGTTTGTCAGTAGCTTTAACAGTTTTTACACTGTGTTTCCTGAGTATCGACTGAAAGGCAGCAGCTACAGTATGTAAAAAGGTCACCAACAGCTGCTCTGATCCATCTTGCCCAGTTAAGGCCAACCTTCGACATCTATTACTTGTTTAAAAAATCTGGTCATGGCTAATATTGTACTGTACAGAAGCTGCTTTGAAGTGTGGGCATTCTGATACAGGCATGATTTATATATCCTGAGACCCAGCCACTGGGGCCTGTATTTAAAAAACTATGCATTCAGTCTATTTGAGTCCTAATCTACTGTGAAAAACACATCACAGGCTTTTTACTGACAAACGTAGCACATCACGTCTTTTCAAAATGGAATAGAAGCAAGTGATCAAAGGCTATATTTGATTTCTGTTCAAAGGATGTTTTTGTAATTATTAACAAGACTCTTAAATGTTTATTTAGAAGTATGTTCACTTAAACCACATGTGTCAAACTCAAGGCCCGGGGGCCAAATCAGGCACAGCCCCACCTAGTGTCAGCAGAAAGTATTACAAAAATCATGCAAAAAATAATTAAAAAAAATATTAAATATATTTTAAGATCATGTTTAATCATCTGATTCGTCTGTACATTGCTGTTTTAGTCTGTGTTCTAATTAGTGTCTGCAGTGTGTGCCTATGGGCTCTGTGCACAAGATGGCGTCTATCAACTTCCGGCGGCTGGGTGTGTGGCTGAGTACTTCCGGCTTGAGTACAGAGTTTTGACAGCTTGACAGTTTGTTGTCAAACCGAGAGCAAGAATGAGCGGATTTCGGGGTAAAGAAAAGCGATTGGCCTTCCAGCGTGTAAGAAAGTCGGCACTACATTGCTGTGTGCCCCTTTGTACAAATTCGTCCCGTTATCAGAATTAGAATACCTTTAGTCCCACAGATGGGAGATTTGTAGCGTTACAGCAGGAAAGAGCCACAGACAGCTTAGTGTTGAATATCTTACATGCGTTAAAAAGTACTAAGTTATAATATAATAAACAATATGCTAAAAAAGTACTAAGTTATAATATAATAAACAATATGCTAAAAAAGTATTCAGTTATAATATAATAAACAATATGCTAAAAAAAAGATAAAGTTACATAATTTTCAAAAATACAGATCAAAAACAAATCCATCCATCCATCCATCCATCTTCTCCCGCTTATCCGTGGTCGGGTCGCGGGGGTAGCAGTTCCAGCAGAGAGCCCCAAACTTTCTTTTCCCTGGCGACATCAACCAGCTCTGACTGGGGGATCCCAAGGCGCTCCCAGGCCAGCGAAGAGATATAATCCCTCCACCTGGTCCTAGGTCTACCCCTTGGTCTCTTCCCAGCTGGACGTGCCTGGAACACCTCCCTAGGGAGGCGCCCAGGTGGCATCCTAACTAGGTGCCCGAACCACCTCAACTGGCTCCTTTCGACGCGAAGGAGGAGCGGCTCAACTCCGAGTCCCTCCCTGATGACCGAACTTCTCACCTTATCCCTAAGGGAGACACCAGCCACCCTGCGGAGAAAACCCATCTCGGCCGCTTGTATCCGCGATCTCGTTCTTTCGGTCATGACCCATCCTTCATGACCATAGGTGAGGGTAGGAACGAAAATGGCCCGGAAGACCGAGAGCTTTGCCTTCTGGCTCAGCTCCCTTTTCGTCACAACGGTGCGGTTAAAGCGACTGCAGTACCGCTCCCGCTGCTCCGATTCTCCGGCCCATCTCACGCTCCATTGTTCCCTCACTCGAGAACAAGACCCCGAGATACTTGAACTCCTTCACTTGGGGTAAGGACTCATTCCCTACCTGGAGTGGACAGTCCATCGGTTTCCTGCTGAGAACCATGGCCTCAGATTTGGAGGTGCTGATCCTCATCCCAGCCGCTTCACACTCGGTTGCGAACCGATCCAGTGAGTGCTGAAGGTCGCAGACCGATGAAGCCATTAGAACCACATCATCTGCAAAAAGCAGTGGTGCAATCCTTAGTCCACCGAACTGCAGACCCCCTCCCCCATGACTACGCCTCGAAATCCGATCCATGTATATTACAAACAGGATTGGTGACAAAGCGCAGCCCTGGCGGAGGCCAACCCTCACCGGAAATGGGTCCGACTTACTGCCGAGGACCCGGACACAGCTCTCGCTTTGGGAGTACAGAGATTGGATGGCCCTGAGTAGAGACCCCCTCACCCCATACTCCCGCAGCACCTCCCACAGTAACTCCCTGGGAACTCGGTCATACGCCTTCTCCAAGTCTACAAAACACATGTAGACCGGATAAGCGTACTCCCAGGCCCCCTCCAGGATCCTTGCGAGAGTAAAAAGCTGATCCGTCGTTCCACGACCAGGACGGAATCCGCATTGTTCCTCCTCAATCTGAGGTTCGACAATCGGCCTGACCCTCCTTTCGAGTACCTTAGAGTAAACTTTCCCGGGGAGGCTGAGTAGTGTGATGCCTCTGTAATTGGCACACACCCTCTGATCCCCCTTTTTAAATAGGGGAACCACCACCCCGGTCTGCCACTCCTTCGGTACTGTTTCCGACTTCCACGCAACGTTGATGAGACGTGTCAACCATGACAGTCCCTCAACACCCAGAGCCTTCAGCATTTCCGGGCGGATCTCATCCACCCCCGGGGCTTTGCCACTGTGGAGTTGTTTGACGACCTCAGTGACCTCCCCCCGGGAGATTGGTGTTGATCCCCCGTCATACTCCAGCTCTGCCTCTAACATAGAGGGCGGAGTTGTCGGGTTCAGGAGTTCCTCAAAGTGTTCCTTCCAACGCCCTAACACTCCATCAGTTGAGGTCAACAACGTCCCATCCTTACTGTACACAGCTTGGATGGTTCCCTGCTTCCCCCTCCTGAGGTGTCGGACAGTTTTCCAGAACAACTTTGGTGCCGCCCGAAAGTCCTTCTCCATGTCTTCTCCGAACTTCTCCCACACCCGCTGCTTTGCCTCGGCCACGGATGAGGCTGCTGCCCTTCGGGCCTGTCGGTACCTTGCAACTGCCTCGGGAGTCCCCCGGGATAACAAATCCCTGAAGGCCTCCTTCTTCAGTCGGACGGCTTCCCTGACCACCGGTGTCCACCAGGAGGTTCGAGGGTTACCGCCCCTTGAGGCACCTAGGACCTTGAGACCACAGCTCTCCGCCGCGGCTTCGGCAATAGAGGCTTTGAACACCGACCACTCTGGTTCAATGTCCCCAACCTCCACAGGAATGCCCGAAAAGCTCCGCCGGAGGTGTGAGTTGAAGGCCTCCTGAACTTGGGCCTCCTCCAGACGTTCCCAGTTCACCCGAACTACACGTTTGGGCTTACCAGGTCTATCCAGAGGCTTCCCCCGCCACCACAAAAACAAATCCAATCTACAAATCAAATCCTGTAGCAGTTCTTAGGATTTAGCAGCCCGGTATATATTAGTTATTAAAGATGGCATATGTATATAAAGTATATATTGCACATAAAGCACATATTGCACATAGTTTGACGGTATTTAACAGCAGCAAGTTACACAATGTTATAATCGGGAGATACATTTCCATTCATTTCGGCAACGATTAAAAGATTTCTTGCTCTCAAACCAATTGTGTATTTCATTACAAAAAGCAGTTATACCATACTATGTTTAGGTACTAATGAATTATATCCTCAAAACAAACGCACACATAAATAACAAAGGAAAATACATCATTTAATAAATCCACAATATGATAACATTTTACAGATTAATTTAATAAGCTTTTACAAAACACAGGTTGATGTTATATCGGGGGGGAAAATACATATTTAAACATTTCAATTAGTCTCTGCATATTTAAGTAATGCTAGTTTATATAACAGATGAACAGATGTACAATATCCAGAAAGTAGATGCAAAAAATATATATATAATGTGTGCATTTCTAACATATCCTCTGAAAGAGTGTTAGTCATTGAGTTGAGTAGTGAGCCATTCGGTTTTTTTTCGTGGTGCGATGTCTGCTGAGAAGTCCTTGTATGCCTCGCTGACTTTGAGGACATCTGGGTCTGGCAGCTCCCCCTGCACGGCCTTGTAACGTGTACTCTTTTGAACATGTTTATATGATAATTAGGACTTTAAGAACAATTTTACACTCAAACAACAATCACAAAGTTGTAGCAGGCTACATACAATTACTTAGAACAATAGATATTACCTTACACCGTCAGCAACTGTAAACTGCTTTGGCTTAGTGGAAATGAACACCATGTCACTCACTCTGCCTGGTTTCACACCCTATTAATTACACAAAATAATTGTCAAATTAATTGAAAAGGTCGTTGATGCAACATACTAAATCAGCTCTTGGCACAAAGGAAATACTCATTAAACCGTGGATTGGTTGTGAACACATACTGTACTTACCATGGTTCTTGGCTTGTGCCATCGCTGCTCTGTTTCAGTGCAGCT